AATGGCCCAGTCACTGTTTTTGTACGTCTTTACTCTTTTTGTCATCCATTGATTCATATCATCTAACAGAATAATTTTGCCTCAAGTTCTTTACTTCTTAAGAATATTACACAATTCCCCCACAATTCAAGTTCAGTTGCTCCATTATCATCAATCTCTGGAGCATAATTTGCTTGTCTCACTAACCTAAATGTTTGTTTTCAGGCCAGCCACAACAACCTAGATAACATCAGCTGTTATGTACTGGCATATAATTTAGCCTTTTCGTTCATAATTACACTTGTATCTTCATGCTCTTTCAGGTATTTCTCAACTTTACAAAATCAGGTCACCTTCATACAGCTCTATTACTTCCTTCCCTTTTTAGTTTCAGAGTCCCACAGCTAGCTAGCTCCCTCCCTCCCTCCATAAGGGGACTGGAAACCTCTTATAAACACATGAAATGGAAAAAATGCAATTATGAATTCTTCTTCTTCTTCTTGTGCCATATCCGTTATCGGACGTTGGCGATCATGTTGGCGATCATGTTTTTATCAGCAGCCGCGTGAAAAAGTGCTGCTGAGTTTTGTCCAAACCAGTCCCTTAGATTTTGAAGCCACGATGTTCTTCTTCTGCCTGGACCTCGTTTGCCTTCCATCTTTCCCTGGAGGATTAAATGGAGTATGCCGTATTTTTCTGGATGCCGCATCACATGTCCGAAATATTCTAATTTTTGTTTTTTAATTGTTTGGATGATTTCCCTTAGCTTTCCCAGGCGGCTTATCACCTCCTCATTTCTGATCTTGTCAACCCAGCTTATACGTAACAGCCGCCTGTAAATCCACATTTCAAACGCTTCTAGTCTCTTCAGGTGGCCTTCTGTCAGAGACCAACTCTCTACTCCACAGAGCAGGATAGAAAAAATATAGCATCTGACAAGCCTGATTTTCAGTCTTAGGCTTATGTCGTGACTGCAGAAGACCTTTTTCATTTTGAAGAATGCTGTTCAGGCTTTTTCTATCCTTGTCTTTACTTCAGCGGTCATGTCCCAGCTTTCATGTAAATTAGAACCGAGGTGCACGATCCTTTCAACTTTTTCTAGTGGTATTCCTTCTGAATTTATTGGTGGTAAATTGACGGGTTGTTTGCTGACGACCATGATCTTGGTTTTTGAGGTGTTTTTTTCAGATATTTCTGTGACTCAGTTATGAATTAAGATTCTGATAATTTTAGAAAAAGAAACCCAGAGAATAGGGGGGGAAAGGTGAGGGGTTTTTTTTCTATATTCTGTGTTTCCACAGAGTAAGAGATACTTTTGTAATTGTATTTATCGTTGCTACAAAGCTGCTTCTTTCTGTTTATTCTTACTGCACTTTTGTTGTTCTTTTTTCTTTCTAGTTTCTGTTTTACATTGGCTTTTATGCTGTCTTTAAAACATTTAATAAAACATTTTTATATATAAAAAAACAAAGCACTATGGGAGGCATAACAAGAGAGCATCTAACAATGCAGTGTTCCCGTGGGCCCAAATTCAGGCAGGTTCCTTGTTAGAACAGACTGATCAAATGTTCCTTCCTCCAGCAATAAAGAGAGTTTTAGATTCCTGAGTGACCAAGGAAGCAGACATTGTCTGGCGGGAGAAATTAGCAACTAGTCCTCAAGGTTTTGCTTTTGACTCCTCCGCCCATAGAACTTGCCTGCCCAGCCCAAAGTTTTTTAGTATTGGCTTTTAGATTTGGGCCTTGGGGTTGAGGGAAGATGGCTTTTAGGTTAAATATTTCATTGGGATGAGTGGTGTTAATTCCGATGTTGAAGCATCATTTTTATTGTTGTTATTATTATTGAATTTTCTTGCAGCCAGACTTTGTCGGAATCATCTGCACCCGCTTGTCGCCAAAGAAAATAATTGAAAAATGGGTAGATTTTGCCAGGTAATTTATTTATTGCTGTTGATCTGGTTTCACCCTGGTTATACAGGTAGACCACACTTGAGCTTAAAATTGATGTCGCTAAGTGAGTCATTTGATCAGAGAGCTTTGCCCCATTTTACGACCTATCTCGCCACAGTTGTTAAGTGAATCCCCGCAGTTGTTACATTAGTAATACAGTTGTTGGTGAATCCGGCTTCCCCATTGATTTCGCTTGTCAGAGGGTCGCAAAAGGGGGTCACGTGTCCCCAGGACACTGCGACCGTCACAAATGCGAGTCAGTTGCCAAGCGTCTTAATTCCGATCACATGATCATGGGGAGGCTAAAAGAGTCATAAGTGGGAAAAACAGTTGTAAGTCACTTTTTTTCCAGGGCTGTTGTAACTTTGAACAGTCATTAAAGGAATGGTTGTAACTTGAGGACCGACCTGTAGTATAATATGCTGCAGTCAATAGCTCCATCTAGTGGCCATACTAGATAGTTCTTTTTTGTTTTGTTTTTTTAGGCTTTGTAGATTATATCCAAATCATGAAGAATCTGTATTGGCATCAAGTAGCAAATGTGAGACTAGGCCAAAAATACTCAGCTGATGCAGAAATAAGAAGAGGGGTCAGACAGGGATGTATTCTGTCTCCACTGTTGTTCAGTATCTACTCTAGTCAATCTTCAACGAGGCACTGGAGAACATCGATGCTGGCATCAAAGTAAACGGTGTTTGGATCAACAACTTAAGATATGCTGACGATACAGTTCTGCTTGCCAGTAAGCATGAAGACCTTCAGCTCCTCATCAACAGAGTCACAGAAATATCTGAAAAATACAGCTTGAAGCTTAACACCTCAAAAACCAAGATCATGATCGTCAGCAAACCACCCATTAATTTACCACCAATAAATTCAGAAGGAATACCGCTAGAAAAAGTTGAAAGGATCACGCATCTCGGTTCTAATCTACATGAAAGCTGGGACATGACCGCTGAAGTAAAGACAAGGATAGAAAAAGCTCAAACAGCATTCTTCAAAATGAAAAAAGGTCTTCTGCAGTCACGACATAAGCCTAAGACTGAAAATCAGGCTTGTCAGATGCTATATTTTTTCTATCCTGCTCTATGGAGTAGAGAGTTGGTCTCTGACAGAAGGCCATCTGAAGAGACTAGAAGCATTTGAAATGTGGATTTACAGGCGGTTGTTAACGTATAAGCTGGGTTGACAGGATCAAAAATGAGGAGGGGATAAGCCGCCTGGGAAAGCCAAGGGAAATCATCAAAACAATTAAAAAACAAAAATTAGAATATTTCGGACATGTGATGCGACACCCAGAAAAATACGGCATTCTCCATTTAATCCTCCAGGGAAAGACTGAAGGCAAATGAGGTCCAGGCAGAAGAAGAACATCGTGGCTTCAAAATCTAAGGGATTGGTTTGGACAAAACTCAGCAGCACTTTTTCGTGCGGCTGCTGATAAAAACAGGATCACCAACTATGATCGCCAGCGTCCGACAACGGATATGGCACAAGAAAAAGAAGATTAGAAGTAGTTCTCAACTTACAACCACTCATTTAGCTACCGTTCTAAGTTACAACGGCCCTGAAAAAAGTGACTTACAACCAGTCCTCACACTTATAACCATGGCAGCGTCCTCATTGTCCCATGATCAAAATTTGGGAGCTTGGCCAAGGGCATATATTTATGATTGTTGGAGCGTCCCGGGATGATGAGATTGCCGCTTGCGATCTTCCCGGTTGGCTTTTGACAATTCTGGAGTCACTGGGGGAAGCCAGATTTGCTTAACAACCTCATGACTCACTTAACAACGGCAGCGATTCATCCGTGCCAAAAAGGTCATAAAAACTGACTCTTAACCATCATCTTGTTAGCAACAGAAATAGTGGCCCAATCGTGGTCGTAAGTTGAGGACTACCTGTAACTGTTAGCTTCCCCCATCCTGTAATTCTTCTGCTAAGTGCAGATCAGTTGGAATCATGCGATAGCATCAAGCATTAAATTAAAAGGCATTTAAACTCAATAGAAGCACAAAATAATCCCATAAAAGAAGTTGAGTTTAATTTAAAAAATCAATTTAAAATTCGAACGTTTGGACGGTGTAATCACTGGATTAAAAGGTGGATCCGATTAAAAGGTGGATCTGATTTGGTTATGACTATAACCTCTTCAGCATATGGGTGAGGATGGTATGGATGCCTGATGATTGACAGAACGCTGCTCCTGTTCCATTAATCAAAGAGAAAAGAATCAGGAGTGAACGCCAAAACTACGGGATTGGTTTAGTCAGCATGCCTGGAACGGTGGAAGCGAATCGGTCTCTTTCTAGTGCAGGCTGTCCCCAGAAACATCACTTAATAAGAAACGTGGCTCTCCATTTTATCCCCGTTCCAATTTTTCCACAGGCGCCTGTGTGAACACAAGTATGGGAATGCGCCTCAGGTGCGGATCAATGGGCACGTGGCGGCTCGCTTCCCTTTCATTCCGATGCCCCTGGATTACATCCTTCCAGAGCTGCTCAAGAACGCAATGCGGTGAGTGCCGGAGCTCTGTTAGTGGGAGGGGGGTTTGGACCTAATTTGGAAGATTTACCTGTATGAGAGGGCAGGAATGTCGAGGATGTAAACAGGCATCTGTCATGGATGGATATCACGAGGGAGAGTAATAATAATAATAATAATAATAATAATAATAATAATAATAATAATGATCATGATGATGGATATCACGAGGGAGAGTAATGATGATGATGATGATGATGATGGATATCACGAGGGAGAGTAATAATAATGATGATAATGGATATGATGATGATGATGATGATGATGATGATGATGATAATAATAATAATAATAATAATAATAATAATAATAATAATAATAGTTGGAAGGGACCTTGGAAGTCATCTAGTCCAACCCCTGCTCAGGCAGGAAACCCTATACCATTTTAGACAAATGGCTGTCCAGTCTCTTCTTAAAAACTTCCAGTGTTGGAGCATTCACAGCTTATGACAATTGGGACTGGAGCTTCTATCACTAAACAATGCAGACATTAAGTGAATCACATCCAAATTAAGAACCTTTATTGCCACAGTCCTTAAGTGAATATAGAATAGAATAGAATAGAATAGAATAGAATAACAGAGTTGGAAGGGACCTTGGAGGTCATCTATTCCAACCCCCTGCTCAGGCAGGAAGCCCTATAACATTTCAGACAAATAGCTGTCCAGTCTCTTCTTAAAAACTTCCAGTGTTGGAGCATTCACCACTTCTGCAGGCAGGTTGTTCCACTGGTTAATTGTTCTAACTGATTAGTTTCCATCCGTTGCTTCTTGTCCTGCCTGTCAGTTGCTTTGGAGAATAGCTTGACTCCCTCTTCTTTGTGGCAGCCCCTGAGATATTGGAACACTGCTATCAGACTTATGACTGATTGTTTAAGGACCTTTCAAAATTACGACAGTCTCGGAAAGCATGTTTCATGGCCCACAAAGCACTTCTGGACATTGTAAAATGTTGCACCATCCCCCCCTTCCCTGTGGATGCATGACTGCATTTGAGGCAGCGGTTTGCATTTACAACCAGCTGCAGGGCCTCACAGTCACGTGACCACGATTTGCAATTATTATTTTTTGGGCCAGGTGTTTGGCCTTTTTTGTTGATTCAGAAGAATGGGTTTGCTTATCAACCATGTGATTCGGATTTACAACCGAATATTTTGCTGCATCAATGTCCTAAAAAGAGTTGAAAAATCACGTCCAGTCCTATGCTTGCCTCGATTAATAATAATAATAATAATAATAATAATAATAATAATAATAATAATAATAATAATAATAATAATAATAATAAAGTTGGAAGGGACCTTGGAGGTCATCTAGTCCAACCCCTGCTCAGGCAGGAAATCTTTGAGGGAGTGAATTGAGTGCTACATCTTTTTTCCTGTTCCCTACAGAAAAAGCCTTAGGTGTTTAAAAGAAAATGAGATCTTTGTGGCCTTGAATGAATATACATTTTGTTTTCCTAAAGGTTCATTGATAGATGAGCTCTTTCTATTTTGCTGAGATTTCTTAGAAGAACTAGTTATAACCTAAGAAAAAAGGAGACAGTTGACTTACAGCAGGGGTCTTCAAACTTGGCCCTTTTATGACTTGTGGACTTCAACTCCCAGAATTCCTCAGCCAGGCACATGTGCCTGGCTGAGGAATTCTGAGAGTTGGAGTCCACAAGTCATAAAAGGGCCAAGTTTGAAGACCCCTGACTTAAAAGAAAGAGCCAATTAGGGGGCTCTATCTTGACTGCAGAACTATCATTGTGGAATTTGAAAAGAGCAATAGAAACTCCAGCATTGGAACACTAAATCATTCAACAGTATAGGTAGTCCTCGACTTACAACCATTCATTTAGTGACCAATCAAAGTTACAACGGCACTGGAAAAAGTGACTTAATGACAGTTTTTACCCTTATGACCATTGCAGCATCCCCGTGGTCACGTGATCAAAATTCAGACACTTGGCAACGGGAATGTATTTATGACGGTTGCAGTGTCCCGGGATCATGTGATCACTTTTTGCAACTTTCTGATAAAGCAGAGTCAATGGGGAAGACAGATTGCACGTCACAATCCTGTTACTAACTTAAGAACTGCAGTGATTCATTTAATAACTGGCAAGAAAGGTCATAAAATGGGGCAAAACTCACTTAACAACTGCCTTGCTTAGCAACAGAAATGTTGGGCTCAAAATTGTTATTGTAAGTCGAGGGCTGCACGTAAAACATTAAAAAGTTGTTAGTTTTTTTCCCCTCAGAAAGTCTGAGCTTCTTGTTTCTATTGACATAATAATAATAATAATAATAATAATAATAATAATAATAATAATAACAACAACAACAACAACTGTGCGATGATCAATAATAATAATAATAACAACAACAACTGTGCGATGATCAATAATAATAATAATAATAATAATAATAATAATAATAATAATAATAATAATAATAATAATAATAATAATAAAGTTGGAAGGGACCTTGGAGGTCATCGAGTCCAACCCCCTGCTCAGGCAGGAAACCCTATACCATTTTGGATAAATGGCTATCCAGTCTCTTCTTGAAAACTTCCAGTGTTGGAGCATTCACCGCTTCTGGAGGCAGGTTGTTCCACTGGTTAATTGTTCTAACTGTCAGGAAGTTTCTCCTTAGTTCTAGGTTGCTTCTCTCCTTGCTTAGTTTCCACCCGTTGCTTCTTGTCCTGCCTTCAGGCGCTTTGGAAAATAGCTTCACTCCCTCTTCTTTGTGGCAGCCCCTGAGATATTGGAACATTGCTATCATGTCCCCCCTCGTCCTTCTCTTCATTAAACTAGACATACCCAATTCCAGCAACCGTTCCTTATATGTTTTACCCTCCAGTCCCCTAATCATCTTTGTTGCTCTTCTCTGTACTCTTTCTAGAGTCTCAGCATCTTTTTTACATCGTGGTGACCAAAACTGGATGCAGTATTCCAAGTGTGGCCTTACCAAGGCATTGTAGAGTGGTATTAATACTTCACGTGATCTTAATAATAATAATAATAATAATAATTTAATTTATATACCGCCCTTCTCCCATAGGACTCAGGGCGGTTCACAGCATATTTAAAAACAGATACTATACACAAATACAAAAATACAAAAACACAAAAATATAAACCCCAATAAAAACCGAATTAAAAACCAAATATTGACGGCTTGATCTATATATTTTCTGGATAGGGATAAAGCACCTTAGAGAAGATCAAGATTGAAAGAGGTGACTTCCCAAGAGAGAAGGGAAGAAAACCAGTAGTAGGAAAAGAAAGAGGTAGAAAAAAAAAAGTCGTCTGTTAGCATACTGCTTTGAAATAATCTAACACATTTTGAGCTTAAATTGCAGGCTTTTTTTTTTAAAGTGAAATTGTTATCTTCGCTTTTTTCAAATCCTTGCCATCAGCTGAAATGCTGTTTTAATGGAATAATAGCTTCTTGGCTTTTGATTCTTTCAGCGCTACTATGGAATCTCACCTGGATACCCCATACAACGTGCCAGACATTATCATCACGATTGCCAACAATGATATTGACCTCATTATAAGGTACGCAGCCTTTGCTGCACTAGTTGCATATCTATGTACTATTAAAATTCTCTTGTCTTGTCTGTGGGAAACTTTAACTGGGCAAAACAGTGCATGGTAGGGCTACAGTTTTTGAACCAAGGCACCTGAAATGGGTTATCGTACAGATTGCATCCAAATCTAGGACCCATGAATCCTGTGGAATTGAAACTTGGCAAATTTTGTAAAACATTTTACCATAAAACATGTAATAATGTCATAAATCATTCCCTGTGGTCAGCTGCTGATGTTTAACTGTGCTTTGTAACATCTCTGAATATCTGCCTGAATATTTAAGAAATTTTCCAGTGTAGACAATGGACTAGAACAGGGGTAGGCAACCTTGGCTCTTTTATGACTCGTGGACTTCAACTCCCAGAATTCCTGAGCCTGCTGTGCTGTGCTGGCTCAGGAATTCTGGGAGTTGAAGTCCACAAGTCATAAAAGAGCCAAGGTTGCCTACCCCTGGACTAGAAGCTCTGTAATTGTTGTAGACATTGAGGAATCTGGTAAGGAAATATCTCTGAAACGATAACCCCAACAGTTCATGGGTTGTCTCTAATCTCTACTAAAGGCTTAAGGTGGCTACTGATGCCTGCAGTCTTGATGGGAACTCCCAGAATTCCCAAGCCAGCATGGTGGCTGAAGAATTCTGGGGAGTTGAAGTCTACAAGTCCTAAAGTTGCCAAAGTTAGACATCTCTGCCTTAGAGACCCGATATAATGATAACTTGTGAACATACCGCATTGAGCCCTACTCTTGAGGTTGACTCACTAGGTGAATATCTCCATGACAGGGAGGAATACGGCAAGTATTTTTATTTATTAGTAATGTTTGTGTCATCTTTCATCTTTCTGTTTATTCTAATGCTCAGAGTGGCTTCTTAGAACAAAAGTTACAGAGCACTTCTCCCCCCCTTTAATTAGATAAATTAAATGGAACAAAGAGAGCAGAAACTAGATGAGCCTTCTTAGTGAGGGCATTCCATAGCCTACAGTAGTGGCCAAAATTGTGGAAACCTTTTGGGAAAAGTGTACAGTAGAAACGCCACCTTTGGTTAAGTTTCCACCAATTTTTCTTCTAATTTCTTTATAACTGTAGCCTTGTTCACTTAATAATGCTATTTTACATCGCTTTCTGGGCAACCAGTCAACTCTTTGCACCATTACTTTAATTTTATTATGTTTTACAAGCTCACTAAATGAAAGAACACAAAAAAACCCCCAACCAATTTGATAGCGATCACATAACACACTGACAAATGTCCTCCTCTCAGCTTCAATACATGGCATCAATATCTGAATCCCACTGTGATCTGATTGGCTCATTGCCAAAACAAGATGACACCTGACTGGCTCTCTAAACATTCATGCTCATTGGCTACAATCAGAGGAAAGAAAGCTACCTGATATCAACCTAAGCAAGTTGTGTTGGTTATTTGGCTATAACGTTTCATAGAAAAGAGTACAGATAATTGAACAAACTTTGTTGCATTACGTTCTTGATTAAATTATCTTTCCATTGATATATAATTTTATGGTACTACTCCCCCCCCAAAAAGTGGTGTTATTAGCCATCAAACCTCAAAAATACACTTTTCCCAAAAGGTTTCCACAATTTTGGCCACTACTGTATAAGCCACCGAAGAAAAGGCCCTATGACTGTGGTTGAGAGACATCTTCAAGAATGTCAAGACAGATTGCCACCAAGGGATGGGGTGCTGCTTCAGAGCCATAAGTGGGTAAATGCAGCTCCTGTGACAACTGGGGAGGTACGAGTCCTCCCAAACCGCAGATCCCACCCCAATTCCCGGCTCCAGCTTTCTGCTCACCAACAGTGCCTCCATTTTGTCTAGATTTCATCTCGGCTTATTTTCTCTCACCCAGCCCACGATTGAGCTGGGCAACTGAAGATACAGATGGTTTCCTTGGAGTTAGATGGTAGGAAGTAGCAGAGCTAGGTATCCACAGCATCCTGATAACATTCGACTCCAAGATCTGAATGACCTCCCACATACTTCTAGAGCAGGGGTGTCAAACTCAATTTCATTGAGGGCTGCATCAGCATTGCGGTTGCCCGGGGGGGGGCAGGTGGGTGTGGCCAGGGTGGGTGCGGCCTGTTGGGTGGGCATGGCCAGCTCTACATCGTTCTTGTCAAGGGTGCCTGTGGGGGCCTGGGCAGGAGTGGGACAGATCTGAGGGTCTCTGGCAGAAGGGGGTGGGACCAGGGCAAGTGCCAAGGCATGGTCCACTGGAGGAGCCTCACCGTTCCTCTCAGGCCATGCAGGGGGGGGCTGGATGGTGGTATGGGCTGCCCGGAGCCCTGGGCAGCAGAGGTCAAACACCCAGCCTGGCCCTCGAGCACCCGCGGCCCCAAGCCCAGCCCCACTTCCCCAAGGGGGTGCCCAGCTGCACTTATCTCCTGCTCAAGGCTGCTGCTGCTGTGCTTGCTCTCCTTAGCCAGGTTGCTCATGATGGGTACGAGGGCAAAGTCAGAGGGAGGCCCATTTCCTCTCCATGGGAGGAGACCCGGCTTTGTATCCAAAGCTCCCTCAGCAATAGGATGGGAGACCCCCAGGATAGTCCAGGAGGAGGGGGCATGGGGATGGTGAAAGGGCAGCAGGGCAGAACTAAGGCAGGACTTCCCTCAGACCCCCCCCTCTCCTTCTTTCCTTCCTTCCTTCCTAAGTACAGAGTGGTGGGAAAATATTTGAGATGAGGGAGGGAGAAAAACAGGCCAGGGCCAAGGCAGCGGGGGCCGGTTCCCTCACTGTTTCCAGGATGGCTTTGCGGGCCACATGAAACCACTTCGCGGGCCACATCCAGCCCCCGGGCCTTGTGTTTGACATGTCTGCTCTGGAGGTTAGCTGAGGAGACAAATAGAATCTCTTTTGGACTTTATAAATCAATACCCCCCCAAAAAATGCATCTTCTGAGCATGTCCCAACAGAAGAGACCAGAATTGCTGCAAATTTCTTCCTAGGCTGAACCCTATCAGACAGCAGTGGCAATAGCACTTAGTTAGACTTATATACCGCTTCACAGTTTGCAGCCCTCTCTAAGCGGTTTACAGAGTCACCATATTGCCCCCCACCCCAACAGTTTGGCTCTTCATTTTACCTACCTCAGAAGGATGGAAAGCTGAGTCCACCTTGAGCCGGTGAGGATCGAACTGCGGGCAGTCAGCAGAATTAGCCTGCAATGCTGCCTTCTAACCACTGCGCCACCACGGATGACCCAGAAGATACCCTGGTGGGTATCAAAAGCTCCTGAGAAACCCAAGAGGACCAGTGGAGTTGCACTCCCTCCATCTGATCTTTGACCAAGAAGGTCTTCTTAGGAAGGCAACCCAGATACTGTAATGTCTACATTATTTCTAATAAACTGTTGAAGACTCCATGACTGTCAATTGTCCGGCTGGCTGTAACTTCATGTATTCTTACTATTTGTTGGAATGAAGTACTTTTCTTTCAAGTTTGGGATAATAATATAGGATTGTTGAAGCTGTTTGAAGGAGGGAAAAAAATAATATTCCCAAATGATTCCCCTTAAACAAAATTGGACTTGTAAGTTTTGAATACTGACAGCAATTTAAAAGAAGTGTTGTAATTTGATTAAAATATAAACGGTCATCTCTTAAAATGTTGAACTTCTGCATTTCACACCTGATTAATAAAACACTTATTTTTTAAAGTGAGCATACAGTATGTGACTGCAGTTTGGCCCACAAGAATTTACTGAAGAATATTAAATATAGACTCTGATTCTGAACAGAGAAGCATTTCTAAAAGTGTGTTTCAATGCACTCTGCCCCAGGATCTTGTCATATGCTGTTCCCAGTTCCATATTTTGGTTGATGTATTCGGTGTTTTCAGTTAAGCTGTAATCTTATGTGCATTTTATGGAGGTCAAACGAAGATATTTGGAATAAAATTACTTTGCTTCTTCTGCATGTCTCTCTTCCTGTTGGCAGGATTTCAGACCGAGGAGCAGGAATCCCTCATGATCACGTTGACAAGGTCAGCGATTACCACTTTACCACGGCTGAAGCGAGCACTCAGGACCCCCGCCTGAACAGCGTCTTTGGGAACATGGTGGAAATGGGGAACAGTGCCCAGTCGGGCCCCATGCACGGGTGAGCACACGGCACAGAAGGGGGGAAGGGAGGTATTTGGGATAATCCAGACGTGGTAGGCCACAAAAAAAAAAGGTTGCAAAATCAGACCTGGTCATGGGGTGACCCGCTTGATGACTGTCACGACGGATGACTCAATTACGGTCGTAACTCAAGGACTATCTGTATAGTCATCGCTCAGTAGTTTGGTTGCATTAGGGGGTGGGTGGGGGGAGGGCTTACCTTTCTTGAAGGAGTGACACCCCCCCCCCATGGAGGCTTCCTCATCTCCTACTGTAATAGGTGGGCACGCAAGTCAATCTGATGCACAATGAGGCTAGTTTGCTGTGAATAAGCCATGTAGGGTTTCTTAGCGCAGGGCTTTTCAACCAGTGGTACGGGTACCACCTGTGGTACATTGGCACCTGGCAGGTGGTACGCGACCCTCCTAGAAAAGTGGTAGCGGGGGAGGGGAATGAGCTGAACCGGTGGCAGCACCGCACAAGCCTGAGTGAGAGATGGCTGGAGCTGCAGGGCTGTCAGGGCTCAGTGGAAGCGCCAGGATCAGTGCCGCTTTCCAGCTGATCAGGGCTGTCAGGGCTCAGTGGAAGTGCCAGGATCGGCACCAGGCTCCAGCTGGAGCTCTGCGCTGATCCTGGTGCTTCTGCTGAGCCCTGAAGAAGCACCAATCAGCTGGAATGTTGCAGCATCTCCAGGGTCTTGTGATTTACATTCAGATGCTTGGCAACTGATTCATATTTATGATGGTCACAGTGTCCCAGGGTCACGAGAAGTGACCAAAACCTGCTGCAACCACCCAGCAGACGGGGGGAATAAAAACCAAACACCCTCCACCCCACCCCCGCTGCCAATCCCCAACAGAAATGCTCACAACAATGAAAACCTCGGACAGGAGGAAGAACGCTGCTGGGCGGGTAGGCAGTTATCTTGCTCGGCTGTAGCTTGGGGGGCACTTTTTTCAGTGCCATTGTAACTTCGAACAGTCACTAAGCGAACTGTTGTAAGTCGAGGACTACCTGTTCTTTATCACTTTTTTTTTCTTTTTTTTTTTTTTTTTGGTCATCAAGTTTTTGACACCTTGCTAGGCGACTGGTGGTACTCGGATGTTGCCATATCCTAAAAGTGGTACAATGGGTGAAAAGGTTGAAAAGCCCTGGTCTTAGAGGTGTCTGTCTCCTCTAAAAACTGGCCCTCCAAGAGAGGACTCTGCTACTGACGGTTCTTGGTAGCTGCAGAGAGTTTGAAACCTTCCATCCCTTTTGATTCCCTCTTCCACAGGTTCGGCTTTGGCTTGCCAACGTCCCGGGCTTACGCTGAATATCTAGGTGGTTCCTTGACCCTCCAGTCGCTCCAGGGCATTGGCACAGATGTCTACCTCCGTCTCAAACACATCGATGGCAAAGAGGAGAGTTTCCGCATTTAGAAAGACCCCTTCCTTGCTTCCGGAGAAAGCTTTTAATACCCCACACACACACCAAACCCACGTTGGCATGGATTCCACCACCATTTTTCTCATCTGGATTCCTAAGCATCTGCTGTGCTCCCCTCACGAGGCACTTTGATCCTTTGGGACACCTAGATGGGGTGAGAAAGGAACAGAGGGCTTCCTCTCCCGCGTGGTTGCTGTTCAGTACACTGCTTCCTGGTGCGTCCTCTAGTCCTGCGTTGGTGCATCTTCGGTGGTCCTCAAGGGGCCTCTTGAACCCAAGTAACCCAAAGCATCACTCTCTCTCTCCCTCCCACGTGGAAGTGCTCAAGGCCACCAACAGCATCCGAGCAAAGCAGTGTTGTTTCTCCATCATCTTCTTGCACACTGCCAACCCCACCTGTGGCCTTGTCCCAACCTTCTCTGGTTGACTTTTGACGTATTTGAAGATGCATGGCGAAAGGAGGTGCCCCCCCTCACGCGTCACGCACGGAGATCCCACTCAACACTTCATCTCTGTGGATGGGCTCTGATGACAGGATGGGGCATCTGAAGAGTCCTCCCTTGCTACCATCTAAGATTTGGAGGCGGGTTTTCTTTTTGGGAATTAGAATCTACCTGTCGGTCGGCAAAGGGACTTTTCATGGTGCACCACAGTGAAAGATGATGGCTTAGGGGGGTGAAAAATACGACGTGGCCCCCTTTTGCAATCCAGGCTACGGATTCCACAAGGTCCTGCCTCTTCCCGAGGCAACGTATTTTATTGGCACCTTTCCTCTCTGCCCTTGATCTTACGGATGTCACTTACCTGACTATTAAATCCAGAATAAGAGTTTGTTGTCTGCTCTTCCCTCTTTCCTCTCCATTACCGGGTGGGGATTCGAAATGAAAAACCGTGATTTCCCGTTACAATACTTAAATTAAAAAAAGTGCACACTCAAACATCCAGCATGTTCATCTTTCCTTGAGGGATACCCGTAGCTATCACTGTACATTTCAGAAACGGAAATCTCTACGGATGTAAAACATGTTTTATTGTTCACGGAGGTGATAAATGAAACTTTCCGGAGGACGCAGCTCGCCTGCAGGACTCATACACATGTATGGTGTGTACTTTTGTAGATCCTGCTATGACATAATTAACCATATTACTATAGGTCAGAGATGGCGAACCTTTTAGAGACCGAGTGCCCAAACTGCAACCCCAAACCCACTTATTTATCGTAAAGTGCCAGGGCTGCATCAGCATTGTGGTGCCCTCGGGAGGGGGCAGGGAGGTGCCTCTGAGTGCCGCCTCTGGCACGCAAAAACTGGGGGCGCAAAAATGGGCCACCGTGCTGCAAGGCGCAAAAACTGCCGCTGCGCACCGTGGGGTGCAGATATGAGGTGCTGCACCACACAAGAACGGCGCAGGGCTAGTGAGTTTCACGCAGGCACTAGCCCCGCCCCATTTGCAGCACGTGCATGCTCGCAGCCCCGTGCGCGCATGCACGCATGTAAAATGCTTCCCCCTCCCTTTTCTTCCAGTCCACCAATCGACTAATGGTTGGTGACCTCTGCTCTACCACCTCTACTCAAGCTTGCTAGTCGGCCGCTTTGCCTTCTTTGTGCTGGGTGGGGCTCCTGTGCACGTGTGCCTGGCTGAGGAATTCTGGGAGTTGAAGTCCACAAGTCATAAAAGGGCCAAGTTTGAAGACCCCTGCTGTAAAGAGTACCGGATACTGCCTGGGGAGATTGCCACGCATCCCAACAAAATGAGATCTACAAGGAGAACAGGGCACAGAAAGTTGGCCAGGGACAGAGCAGAAGGGAGGTGGATCCCCACAAGACATCTCCTTGGAAGTAGAAGATAAAAGAGCCAGTCTGGACTAGCGGTTAAGGCACCAGACTACAAAACAGGAGACTGTGAGTTCAAGTCCTGCTTTAGCCACAAAAGCCAGCTGGGTGGCTCTCTCTCAGTCCAACCCACTTCGCAAGGTTGTTGTTGTGGGGAAAACAGGAGGAAGAAGGGTGTGTTGGATATATTCGCCGCCTTGAGTTATTTGTAAAAATAATAAAGGCAGGGTAGAAATCAACAAAACGGGAGGAGGGCAATTTTGAGCAAACTGTTGAAAAAGCTGGGCAAGGAAGGTGAACACTAATCAGAGTCGAACATAGAGCAAGAAACTAAACCTAAACCATGGTCATTAAGTGTACCCATTTCTGCAATGGGCAGTTTTTGCCAGAAACCAGAAGTCACAAATCGGTGTCACGTAACCATGGGATGCTACAAACAGTTACGAATGTGGGCCAGTTGCCAAGCACCCAAAATGCCCTCACATGATGGCGAGGGTTGAGGCAGTGGTCAAAACTTCAAATTCAACAGTACCTTTTTGGGGTCCACTGTAACTTAGGTTATTAAGCAACCAGTCATAAGTCAATGTGCTGTCCTGCTCACTCACACACCCACATAACCATGGTTTAGTGCAGGGGTAGGCAGCCTTGGCTGTTTTATGACTCGTGGACTTCAACTCCCAGAATTCCTGAGCCAGCATGGCTCAGCTTGGAAACCTCTCCCTTTCTCCTCAGCATGGCTGGCTCAGGAATTCTGGGAGTTGAAGTCCACGAGTCATAAAAGAGCCAAGGTTGCCTACCCCTGGTTTAGTGGGTTTATTAATATTCCCCAGCAATTCCCTTCACCAAAAACCCAGAACTGTCCCAATTACGTCCAGCCACAAGCAGGCCAATGCTAAAATTTCCCAATCAAAATTAACCCACCAGGCAAAAATTAAATCCACAATACAAGAGGGTTCACGAGGCATGAAAAGTCCAGAGTTTACAAAGCACGATCCAAGTCAAGGCACAGTGTCAATCCAAAGCAAGGCAGGAATCACAACAACCAGAAAACACACAGCTAGGAAATGAACACATTGTTCCCAGCATTGCCTCCATCTGTCTGCTGTGCTAAAGTACAAAAATTTTGGCATTTGATAAAACAGTGGCTAGAAGAGATACTAATGCAGAACATCGAGCTAAAACCAGAATTCTTTCGGCTGGGTATCACTAAGGATAGATACAATAAAGGATCCCTATACCTATTACTACATATGCTAACAGCAGCAAGATTAGCCTTTGCACAGAGATGGAAGGATAATGAGACACCCTCGGAAGAAGAGGTGATAAATAAGATTTTATCCTGTGCGGAAATGGATAGGTTGACGTTAGAACTCAAGGATAAGAGTGAAACAGATTATTATGAAATCTGGAACAAATTGTATAATTGGTTGGGGAAAAATAGACGGAAAAACTCTCTGATTCAGCAAAACATATTGAAAATATTAAAATGAAAATTAAGAATATAGATGACGGGACCCACCAGAGAGAATATTTAAGAGAAAAAGAGACATTTGTTTGAATATGTGGATTACGAATTATAGAAATCAATTGTTTACGATCTTTCCTTACAAATGTAAACTAAGCAAACACACTGTTAATCGACTATTATGTGATTTATGTTTTAAAAGCCAATAAAACTTATAAATAAAAAAAAGAGAAGAAGGGCGAGGCTTTCTCCTCACGAGTAATCTGGCTGACCTTCCCTGCTCCTGCCTTTTCTCTGTCCTACGTGTTTCTCGGATCAGATGCGGAAGGCAGTTCCTCTTCCTCATCTCTGACCAGCTGCAGTTGCATGCTTTCCCACCAATTTTTGTTGCTAAGCGAGACAATTGCTAAGCAAATTTTACCCCCATCTTATGATCATTCTTGCCACAGTTAAGTGAATCACTGCAGTTGTTTTTGCCACAAAAACTTGGTTTGTAGACTCCGCTTTTTCAAAAGTCTATTGAGATAATCATTACCATTTCACTGATCAAGCAGTTAAAACAAATGGACTTTGGAATCAGATACCGGCTCCTTTAAGAAGTTGCTTGGATGCTGAAAATGTGATTGGCTCATGCCGACAACAGTCTAATTACTTACACCAAGTTGGGCGGCATTATTTTGTGGAAGCAACACCTGAGCAGGTTCCCATTTCAAGTGATCCTGTCCTGCTTGATTATCACAGAAGGCCAGGTAAGTCCACACCTTCAGCCTTTATTTTAACTGAAGAGGCATGCTTTTGCAGGCCGAACTGAAGAAGCGTCTTGGATGAGAAGTGAAAATGTCTTCAAAGAAAAAAAAACCCAAGAAAGCCTAGTTGCCTTTTGGGGAAAAAAACACCTTCATGACAACCATGAGCTGGATGATAAGAGAATCTCCATAGATGCTGAACTGCACTGCAGAAGAAATTATAGAGTTTTTCTGTGTTGCTTCATAATGGGTTGGGACGATAGTCAGCAAAAGATGAAATAGGCAAGATACAATGAAATCTACTGAGAGGAAGCTTCATAATACCATAAGGGACATGACAGCAGTATTCCAGTATTTGAAGGGCTGCCATAAAGAAGAGGGAGTTGTTATTATGTCTGCGCATGCGTGAGCGATGGCGGTCTCCGTGGGATAGCTCCGAAAATGCGGAGCCCGAAAACGGCCAAAGGGGCTAAAGGGGGAGCGTGGAAAGCTCCCTGAAGGCCCGGAGACTCCCCCCCTTCCCGGTAAGCCCCCCTGGACTGGATACAGGACACATGGGGGTGCGGGGGACGTGGAGCCGACCTGGTTTTTNTGGGGGGTGGGGGGTGGGGGGAGGGCTTACCTTTCTTGAAGGAGTGACACCCCCCCCCCCATGGAGGCTTCCTCATCTCCTACTGTAATAGGTGGGCACGCAAGTCAATCTGATGCACAATGAGGCTAGTTTGCTGTGAATAAGCCATGTAGGGTTTCTTAGAGCAGGGCTTTTCAACCAGTGGTACAGGTACCCCCTGTGGTACATTGGCACCTGGCAGGTGGTACGCGACCATCCTAGAAAAGTGGTAGCGGGGGAGGGGAATGAGCTGAACCGGTGGCAGCACCGCACAAGCCTGAGCGAGAGATGGCTGGAGCTGCAGGGCTGTCAGGGCTCAGTGGAAGCACCAGGATCAGCACCAGGCTCCAGCTGGAGCTCAACGCTGATCCTGGCGCTTCTGCTGAGCCCTGAAGAAGCACCGATCAGCTGGAGCTCGGCGCTGATCCTGGTGCTTCTGCTGAGCCCTGAAGAAGCGCCGATCAGCTGGAATGTTGCAGCATCTCCAGGGTCTTGTGATTTACATTCAGATGCTTGGCAACTGATTCATATTTATGACGGTCACAGTGTCCCAGGGTCATGTGAAGTGACCAAAACCTGCTGCCACCACCCAGCAGACGGGGGGAATAAAAAACTGTTGTAAGTCGAGGACTACCTGTTCTTTATCACTTTTTTTTTTTTTTTTTTTTTGGTCATCAAATTTTTGACACCTTGCTAGGTGACTGGTGGTACTCGGATGTTGCCATATCCTAAAAGTGGTACAGTGGGTAAAATGGTTGAAAAGCCCTGGTCTTAGAGGTGTCTGTCTCCTCTAAAAACTGGCCCTCCAAGAGAGGACTCTGCTACTGACGATTCTTGGTAGCTGCAGAGAGTTTGAAACCTTCCATCCCTTTTGATTCCCTCTTCCACAGGTTCGGCTTTGGCTTGCCAACGTCCCGGGCTTACGCTGAATATCTAGGTGGTTCCTTGACCCTCCAGTCGCTGCAGGGCATTGGCACAGATGTCTACCTCCGTCTCAAACACATCGATGGCAAAGAGGAGAGTTTCCGCATTTAGAAAGACCCCTTCCTTGCTTCCGGAGAAAGCTTTTAATACCCCACACACACCAAACCCACGTTGGCATGGATTCCACCACCGTTTTTCTCATCTGGATTCCTGCTGTGCTCCCCTCACGAGGCACTTTGATCCTTTGGGACACCTAGATGGGGTGAGAAAGGAACAGAGGGCTTCCTCTCCCGCGTGGTTGCTGTTCAGTACACTGCTTCCTGGTGCGTCCTCTAGTCCTGCGTTGGTGCATCTTCGGTGGTCCTCAAGGGGCCTCTTGAACCCAAGTAACCCAAAGCATCTCTCTCTCTCTCCCTCCCACGTGGAAGTGCTCAAGGCCACCAAGAGCATCCGAGCAAAGCAGTGTTGTTTCTCCATCATCTTCTTGCACACTGCCAACCCCACCTGTGGCCTTGTCCCAACCTTCTCTGGTTGACTTTTGACGTATTTGAAGATGCATGGCGAAAGGAGGTGCCCCCCCTCACGCGTCACGCACGGAGATCCCACCACGATGGCCACTCAGCACTTCTTCATCTCTGCGAATGGGCTCTGATGACAGGATGGGGCATCTGAATAGTTCTCCCTTGCTACCATCTAAGATTTGGAAGCGGGTTTTCTTCTTAGGAATCAGAATCTACCTGTCGGTCGGCAAAGAGACTTTTCATGGTGCACCACAGTGAAAGATGATAGCTTGGGGGGGTGTGAAAAATACGACGTGGCCCCCTTTTGCAATCCAGGCTACGGATTCCACAAGGTCCTGCCTCTTCCTGAGGCAACATATTTTATTGGCACCTTTCCTCTCTGCCCTTGATCTTACGGATGTCACTTACCTGACTATTAAATCCAGAATAAGAGTTTGTTGTCTGCTCTTCCCTCTTTCCTCTCCATTACCGGGTGGGGATTCGAAATGAAAAACCGTGATTTCCCGTTACAATACTTAAATAAAAAAAAGTGCACACTCAAACATCCAGCATGTTCATCTTTCCTTGAGGGATACCCGTAGCTATCACTGTGTACATTTCGGAAACGGAAATCTCTACGGATGTAAAACATGTTTTATTGTTCACAGAGGTGAGAAATGAAACTTTCCGGAGGACGCAGCTCGCCTGCAGGACTCATACACACACATGGTGTGTACTTTTGTAGATCCTGCTATGACATAATTAACCATATTACTATAGGTCAGTGATGGCGAACCTTTTAGAGACCGAGTGCCCAAACTGCAACCCCAAACCCACTTATTTATCGCAAAGTGCCAGGGCTGCATCAGCATTGTGGTGCCCTCATGAGGGGGCAGGGAGGTGCCTCTGAGTGCCACCTCTGGCACGCAAAAACTGGGGGCGGAAAAATGGGCCACCGTGCTGCAAGGCACAAAAACTGCCGCCGTGCACTGTGGGGTGCAGATACAAGGTGCTGCACCACACAAGAACGGTGCAGGGCTAGTGAGTTTCACGCAGGCACTAGCCCCGCCCCATTTGCAGCACGTGCATGCTCGCGGCCCCGTGCACACATGCACGCATGTAAAATGCTTCCCCCTCCCTTTTCTTCCAGTCCACCAATCGACAATGGTTGGTGATCTCTGCTCTACCACCTCTACTCAAGCTTGCTAGTCGGCCGCTTTGCCTTCTTTGTGCTGGGTGGGGCTCCTGTGCACGTGTGCCTGGCTGAGGAATTCTGGGAGTTGAAGTCCACAAGTCATAAAAGGGCCAAGTTTGAAGACCCCTGCTGTAAAGAGTACCGGATACTGCCTGGGGAGATTGCCACGCATCCCAACAAAATGAGATCTACAAGGAGAACAGGGCACAGAAAGTTGGCCAGGGACAGAGCAGAAAGGAGGTGGATCCCCACAAGACATCTCCTTGGAAGTAAAAGATAAAAGAGCCAGACTGGACTAGCGGTTAAGGCACCAGACTACAAAACAGGAGACTGTGAGTTCAAGTCCTGCTTTAGCCACAAAAGCCAGCTGGGTGGCTCTCTCTCAGTCCAACCCACTTCGCAAGGTGGTTGTTGTGGGGAAAACAGGAGGAAGAAGGTGTGTTGGATATATTCGCCGCCTTGAGTTATTTGTAAAAATAATAAAGACAGGGTAGAAATCAACAAAACAGGAGGAGGGCAATTTTGAGCAACCGGTTGAAAACGCTGGGCAAGGAAGGTGAACACTAATCAGAGTCGAACATAGAGCAAGAAACTAAACCTAAACCATGGTCATTAAATGTACCCATTTCTGCAATGGGCAGTTTTTGCCAGAAGCCAGAAGTCACAAATTGGTGTCACATAACCATGGGATGCTGCCAACAGTTACAAATGTGGGCCAGTTGCCAAGCACCCAAAATGCCCTCACATGATGGCGAGGGTTGAGGAGGCAGTGGTCAAAACTTCAAATTCAACAGTACCTTTTTTGGGTCCACTGTAACTTAGGCTATTAAGCAACCAGTCATAAGTCAATGTGCTGTCCTGCTCACTCACACACCCACATAACCATGATTTAGTGCAGGGGTAGGCAGCCTTGGCTCTTTTATGACTCGTGGACTTCAACTCCCAGAATTCCTGAGCCAGCATGGCTCAGCTTGGAAACCTCTCCCTTTCTCCTCAGCATGGCTGGCTCAGGAATTCTGGGAGTTGAAGTCCACGAGTCATAAAAGAGCCAAGGTTGCCTACCCCTGGTTTAGTGGGATTATTAATATTCCCCAGCAATTCCCTTCACCAAAAACCCAGAACTGTCCCATTATGTCCAGCCACAAGCAGGCCAATGCTAAAGTTTCCCAATCAAAATAAACCCACCAGGCAAAAATTAAATCCACAATACAAGAGGGTTCACGAGGCATGAAAAGTCGAGAGTTCACAAAGCACGATCCAAGTCAAGGCACGGTGTCAATCCAAAGCAAGGCAGGAATCACAACAACCATAAAACACACAGCTAGGAAATGAACACATTGTTCCCAGCATTGCCTCCATCTGTCTGCTGTGCTAAAGTACAAAAAATTTGGCATTTGATAAAACAGTGGCTAGAAGAGATACTAATGCAGAACATCGAACTAAAACCAGAACTCTTTCGGCTGGGTATCACTAAGGATAGATACAATAAAGGATCCCTATACCTATTACTACATATGCTAACAGCAGCAAGATTAGCCTTTGCACAGAGATGGAAGGATAATGAGACACCTTCGGAAGAAGAGGTGATAAATAAGATTTTATCCTGTGCGGAAATGGATAGGTTGACACTAGAACTCAAGGATAAGAGTGAAACAGAGTATTATGAAATCTGGAACAAATTGTATAATTGGTTGGGGAAAAATAGACGGAAAAACTTTGATTCAGCAAAACATATTGAAAATATTAAAATGAAAACTAAGAATATAGATGACGGGACCCACCAGAGAGAATATTTCAGAGAAAAAGAGACATTTCTTTGAATATGTGGATTACAAATTATAGAAATCAATTGTTTACGATCTTGCCTTACAAATGTAAACTAAGCAAACACACTGTTAATCGACTATTATGTGATTTCTGTTTTAAAAGCCAATAAAACTTATAAATAAAAAAAAGAGAAGAAGGGCGAGGCTTTCTCCTCATGAGTAATCTGGCTGGCCTTCCCTGCTCCTGCCTTTTCTCTGTCCTACTTGTTTCTCGGATCAGATGCGGAAGGCAGTTCCTCTTCCTTATCTCTGACCAGCTGCAGTTGCATGCTTTCCCACCAATTTTTGTTGCTAAGCGAGACAAATTTTACCCCCATCTTATGACCGTTCTTGCCACAGTTAAGTGAATCACTGCAGTTGTTTTTGCCACAAAAACTTGGTTTGTAGACTCCGCTTTTTCAAAAGTCTATTGAGATAATCATTACCATTTCACAGATCAAGCAGTTAAAACAAATGGACTTTGGAATCAGATACCGGCTCCTTTAAGAAGTTGCTTGGATGCTGAAAATGTGATTGGCTCATGCCGACAACAGTCTAATTACTTACACCAAGTTGGGCGGCATTATTTTGTGGAAGCAACACCTGAGCAGGTTCCCATTTCAAGTGATCCTGTCCTGCTTGATTATCACAGAAGGCCAGGTAAGTCCACACCTTCAGCCTTTATTTTAACTGAAGAGGCATGATTTTGCAGGCCGAACTGAAGAAGCGTCTTGGGTGAGAAGTGAAAATGTCTTCAAAGAAAAAAAAAACCAAGAAAGCCTAGTTGCCTTTTGGGAACAACCTTCATGACAACCATGAGCTGGATGATAAGAGAATCTCCATAGATGCTGAACTGCACTGCGGAAGAAATTATAGAGTTTTTCTGTGTTGCTTCATAATGGGTTGGGACGATAGTCAGCAAAAGATGAAATAGGCAAGATACAATGAAATCTACTGAGAGGAAGCTTCATAATACCATAAGGGACATGACAGCAGTATTCCAGTATTTGAAGGGCTGCCATAAAGAAGAGGGAGTCAACTTATTTTCCCAAGCACCAGAAGGCAAGACAAGAAACAATGGTTGGAAATTGACTAAAGAGAGAAGCAACTTGGAATGAAGGAGAAACTTCCTAACTGTGAGAACAATTAAGCAGTGGAACGGCTTGCCTTCAGCACTTGTGGGTGCTTCATCACTGGAGGTTTTTAAGAAGAGACTGGACAACCACCTATCTGAAATGGTATAGGGCAGGGGTAGGCAACCTTGGCTCTTTTATGACTCGTGGACTTCAACTCCCAGAATTCCTGAGCCAGCCAGTTGAAGTCCACGAGTCATAAAAGAGCCAAGGTTGCCTACCCCTGGTATAGGGTCTCCTGCTTGAGCAGAGGGTTGGACTGTCACTAGAAGACCTCCAAGGTTGCTTCCAGGTCTATTTTTATTGATATTCAACTATAATCTATAACCACTGTGGCCAAAGGCATACCAGGTTGATAAAACTGAGTGTACATTGAGGAAGCAAGTACAGTAC